ACTCTGTTGTGAGTCGTGATGGTGGTTTGGAAGAAAGAAACGATGCTAGACAACCCAATTTATAAAGGCAACACGGAAAAAACAAGCGCGGGTACGACCAAACAGAAAGGCCTGTGGAAGACGGACGTCAATGCCCACCCAAGATACGAGGAAAGGAAAGAGCCTGGTGGTGGTGGAGGAACTTGGGCACAGAGATGACCAAGGCGATGGCTATGGGTATCATGATCCAGGCCACTCTGACCCAAATCCATTCCATTGCCTTCACTTACGACAAGGCAGCTTGAAGGCGAAACCCCACTACCACGCCATCCTCAACCCTATTATCGTCTTGCGCGGTCTCTTACTCCTCTATCTATCTATCCTCCAACGTCAATATATCATCATCACCAATACGTTCGCCTACAGGTCTCCACAGTGAAGAGCATTCCCCAAAGTGGTTCGCGCTGATGAAATGTAATTGGCTGAGCCTGAGCCGGCGTCACAGGCGCGATCTGTGGTAGATTGTGACTCCGTGACTCGTCCAAGGATTGGGGTTAACCACGACCACGACAGCGAGATGTGGTAGTCCCTGACACCTCTCATCTTGATACTTTCGAAACTGATGACTGAATTCATTTCTCACCGCTCTCGTAAACGTGAAAGGCTCGTTTTTTACTGTTTCGAAAATCGAGGGCCGAACTTGGCATAAACATCCATGCGAGGAGTCCTACTATCTCGACGCAGCAGCTGAGGAAATCGGAGACCAAAGATGGAAGTGAGCAGGATGCTCTACTGCCTACTGATTTCGTGAAACGAGAGTCGGTCTATCGAATCTGACTTGGAGTATCAAGATTCAAAGGTCGCAAGGGGGAACTAAAAACAAGAGGTTGACGAGCTTGGGTATATGGATGAGACTACGGATGCGGAGCCGCTACCATGTTCGACTCGGGTTTGGCGTCAGAGTGCGAGTGAGTTTGCCATATCTCCTTTATAATACTAGTCCGCGCGCCACTTGGACTCTGCTCATGCCAGTGTATCGACAGATGAAGCTTCCACGTTTCCTGGGTCACAGGTGTAGGGCAATACACTTTTTCCCAGCTTAAAAGTAATCGAGCTGAAACCCAGAACGCGCCCAAAAACCCTCCACCAAAAAGAAACGCACAAAAAAAAAAAAAAACCACGCTCACTAGCAACTGCAAATACATATCGGAATACCCACCATATCGTACTGGTGTACGTTCTCAACAACAATTGGTACAATTCTATCATCGTTGGGCAGGGATTTGGAGTATACATATCACAACCGGTATGATGTACAAAAAGAGGAGAAGAAAAAAAGGAAGAAACCTCACAAGAAAAACCACCGTGGCCGCAATCACAACCCATCACGATCCCGCACTCCATATTCCACAGGCGCCTGACATTTCCCATCCAACACACAATCCCTCCAAGCAGCATACATCATAACCACAAAGTTCTGTCCCTCAGGACTCCCCGTCGTAAACGGTGTCCTATCCCCCCAATTCAACGGGTTCACAGCAGGCGTCACCACGCCCTCAGACGTGACATGCGGGTTACCCCCTTCGTCGTTCCCACCAAGGACACCACGGATTCCATCTGCCCAAGCTGTGTAACCACCACGACCGAGACCGAAGATGTTGGGTTGTAAAACGGCCATTCGATACGCGACCGCGGCTAACAAAGACGATCCTGAAATTTCGCCGTACCAATGCCCACCATCGTCGTTGAGGTAGTTGGGGAGCAACCCCTGATCTAGAGGCGACCCCACAACCGCGTCCAAAATCTCCTTAATTCACCCAGTCAACTCGGCGATAACCGTCTCTCGATAGTCAGGTGGGATGATGTACTCGGGCGTTTTCATGACCGTAGCGAGGACGCGGGTCATTCCAGCTGCGACCCAGGCGTTTCCGGTTGACCAGAGACCTGGGTCTGGGGTGCTGGTCGGGTTGACGATGTGTTTCCAGAGGTTCGTGTCGGCCTGGTGGAGGATTTCGCGGTAAAGACGGCATTGGTCGACGGATTGTTGGAGGAGAGCGAGGTTTTGGGTCGTGACGGCGTAGTAGGCTATGAATGGAGGTGCCATGTAGATAAAGTCCGCCCTGTGGTGGGAAGAGAAAGTTTAGATTGTTTTTGAGTAATGGTGATCGCATGGAGAGACTCACCAAAGTTCAGGTCCTTCAACGCGGTGAGATATCGCACCGTTATCATATCTCGGCGCTTCGTATACAACATAATCGAGCTGTCTCTCCGCCGCGTCTCTATACATCGGGATCGTACCTCCCAGCATGAGAGCACTGACGCCCAAACTGGCTGGATCGCCCACTGCACCGTCGCCATCCGCCAACGCGTTCTTGCCGTCTTGGCTGATCACGATAGTTCGTTGTGCGTATTGGAGAGCTTTGACAGTGCTTGGATCGAGGTCAGAGCGGAATGGATCGCAGCCAAAGACGGAGAGAGAGCTGTTGTGGAGCTCGAGGAGGGCTTGAGAGGCTGTACCAAACTCCCAGGAATGAGAGGGGAGGGACTGGGCGAGGTCTGCGACGCGGGAGATGTCGAATCCTGGAGAGAAGGGGAACGGATTGTCTAGGGGGACGCAGGAGGCTGCGATGGAGAAGAATGCGAGCTGCATGGTGGAAGTAAGAGTGAGAGTCTGAAAGGTCTCAGTTGCTTACCTTTATGACAGTGGTCGATAGAGTTTGACCGAAATCAGGGTGAACAGGGAAACTGCTTTGCACATTCTGAACCACGCAGTTTCTGCCAAAAAACTGTGAAAGATCGTGACAGTTGGAACATTCCTTCCTTTCTACCGTGCAACGACAAAGGGCCTCGCGAGAGGTAGTAAAGAAAGGAAAGAGGTAAGTAAAATGAATTTGGCCCCTGCAAAACGTAAAACGCGTCGTGCGCGTGACCCCGGTCCATGGACAACAAGCCCGGGTCACAGGCGCGACATGTCACAGACAGTCACATGTCAGTCACCTTTGTAACTCCGTGACTCGTACAAGAGTTGTGTTAACCCACGACAGCTCTGAGTTAGAAGATTCAGGAAGATGTGGTAGTCCCCGAAGCCTCTCATCTTGATACTTTAAACCTGATTACTAATCTTTTTTCACCGCTCTTGTAAGCACTGCGTCGCCTTATTGGAAGTATCTCTGAGTTCTAAACTAGGCTCAATCTTCGATTTTTCAAAGGGTCGATACTTCGCGTTCCTCAAACTGGTATTCTCATTCCTACGGAGCATTTGACTATCTTCCAGGGATTAAAAGTCATGGAAAGAAATTCCAAAGATTATGGCAGAGACAAAGACCAAATCAAAGAGTCAATCTTGCTCATTCGGCGAACCCTCGTTACAACGGTGAGTCTTTCCAAAAGTCGCGAACAGTGAGCCATTACATTCATGAGAGCGCTGACATGGCCATACAGCTCTCGAGAGAAACAAACGCAGAGGCCAACTACAACAAGGAGGTTGCCCGATTAAAGGAGGAAAACATGAAAGTGCTGCAAGAGGCTCAGAACGCGCTGTCCGAGCGTGATGAAGCGCGACGAGAGATCGCTCAGCAGAAGAAACTAGTAGGTTACTTATACCTGAGCAGTCTCTCACAAATCGTAATCCATTTACTCACAAAAATCCTCTTTTAATTCTAGATAACCCAGCAGAGGTTGAGGATAACGCAGTTGGAGAAGGATTTGACCAGTATTAAGCAACAAAAGGAGATTAACGGATGCTATAACATCGGTGTGGCCAAGGAATTGGAGGTGCGTTTCACTGTTTCGAGGTTCGAGAATCGAGGGGGCAAAAGACCGTGCACAGCATATGCCAACGAAACATCCATGCGAGTCCAATCTCGACACAGCAGCTGAGGAAATCAGCGACCAGAGGGCTGGAAGCATGGAAAGTTTGCCAAGCATCGCATTCATTACATGCAAGGAAGAGCAGGATGTCCTCCCGGCTCATGGATTGAGAGTTTCTGAAGAAGTCAATTCATCGAATCTGCGGCATGGGCCGCACAGCTTGGAGCATCGAAGTTCGGAAAGAGAATCGGAACAGGAGGTTGACGAGCTTATGGACGATGACCAGGTACGTGAATGACTTCCTTTCAGTGGCACCCTGGGTGACTACAGAGTCGATAATTATTGTACCCTTAGGACGAAGAGGGTCATTTATGCAAGGCTTCGGAGCCGCTATCATGTTTGACTCGGGCATCAGGCGCTGAGGTTGAGGTTCCTCAGAACCAGAGTGAGTCGTCGTTCTCCTTACCAGTCCGTGCGCCACTTGGACTCTGCTCATGTATTTTTAGACGAAGCTTCGACGCTTCCTGGGTGTGAGGCACAACTTTCCGACTCAGATGGCACAGTTCGATTCCCACCACGCTGGCGCGCTGGTCAAAGATGTGGGTCGCAACGTCGTTTAGTCCACACGCAACATGTTCTGAGGTACTTTTTCCAGATGAACGCCTAACGTCCGGATGTGCCAAAGACTTTTTCCGCAGAGACGGGATGCAAAGGCATACGCTGCTCGCGCATGCCAAGGATGGGCCACGGATGATGACACCCAAAAGTCGCTTATGGCAATGCAGAGTTGTTGGATGTGAGAAGCGTTTCACGACGCAATACCATTTATCAAGGCATGCAAGTGTGCATGCTGGAAAAAGACGTGGGTCTAGTAGAACACAATGATCCGAACAAATTTACTGAATGATTGCCTCCTTAATTTCCAGATAAATGCCCTTGGCCGGGATGCGAAAAGGATTACAGTCGTGAGGACAACATGCAAATACATCTGTTCACACACGCGGCCTCGAGAACTACTCCGAGTGAGGAGTATCAAAGAAGTCGAAACGTAGTGAGGATCGGGTAGGATGGAGTAACAGAATGTCGATCACCTACTCATACGTAGTCTGATTTGTGCCCGTGCCCTTTTTTTGTTTGTACCAGAAGATGGAGAAGCTGCTTAGCCCCATTATTCTATCGTTTTGAATGTCCTCGCTGTCAAAAAAAAAATGAGGTCTAACCAGGATTCGAACCTGGGTTAATGGAATGATGATACACTGACCGCGATCTCAGCAATCAAAATCCACTGTGATAACCACTACACTATTAGACCGATACGGGACGCATAAGCCTTACTCATATATATAATCAGTGCGCCTCTACAGGTTCGGCTGACCAAACTGTTCAAAAGCTCACGCGCACGAACGAGGCGAGAGCTTGTGGTGGTTGAACGTCGATCCCTTGCAAGGAAAAACGTAAAATTGGTCGGTCACAAAAGGTCCAACCAGGACTCGAACCTGGGTTAATGGAACTTTAAACTCAGTCCGTCAAAATCCACTGTGATGACCACTACACTATTGGACCGTGTGGGTGCCGCCGTCAAGATAGTTTGGGAACGGCCCACGAGTAGAAACGATTTTCAGATCTCGTGAAGGACACACAGTGGGGCCGTAAGTGAGACGAGTGGTGTTTTTCCATCAAAATGCGAAGCATGGTGCTCCTACAATATCGTATCGATATAAACTCACGTCGTCAAATTCGGTATGCTCCTTCTCTTGCCGCTGCATAATCTGTTTAAGCTGGCTCTCATAACCGTTCACAACCGTTGTGGTCGAGCCACTGTCTTCGGTTATTCTTCCAGTTTGTTCTGGGAGGAAGAGCTTGATGTTTCGGATGTTCGAGTGACCCGTTGATGGTAATAATTGTGCTGGTCGCCGTTACCATTGCTCAAGTTCCCCCCGGTTACTGATAGAGAAACCTCGTGCGTTGGGGAAGAAAGTAGCCTGCATCGTAGAGCTGGCAGGGAACGATAGGGTACGGAACGAATGCATCTCACAGGAAGAGTTGTATATTTCAGGTAAAAATACATACACATGCCTTTAGGTTCAAACGAAAATAGAGGAAACTCAAAGCCCACGCGTACACTATCCTCATCAACAGCTCGCCCCGTCCAAGCCGCATCCAAGATATCCCTCCCATAACCCCTATCATACGCTTTAGATTCGACTTCCGGTCCACCACTTATACTACTTTCGACCTCCGGCGTTCGACTGTCCCCGGATTTGCGATGATCCCATGCATAGCGCTTGACAGAAGTATTGCGGGATTAGCAAACACTTTTAATGCAGCAGTGTGGCCCACATCTCCCATCCTTCTGCTTGGGCAGTAGCGCTCTGGTGTCAATCACAGAGGCGTCGCGGGATTAGCAAATACTTGCAGAAGTGGTTTACAGCTTGGACACCCCCGTCTTTCTGCTGGTGAACTCGGGGTGTAAATTAACGAGTGCTATACTCTTCTAGCCTCCGAGAGCTCGGAATCTTGCGGTTAGACGACGCCTAGATCCAGGTTCACCTTGAACTTGGGGGGTAGTAGGTGTCACCAGTGACCACTAAGCGCCAAAAAATTGCCACATGAACATGAAGACTCAATTACACACCTCCCCCACGTTCTCCGGTTGTAGGTGCAACACGCTAAACGAGTATGTAACAAACCAGGTCATTCGTTACCTCCTCCATCGACGCCCGGTAACACTTGGACTCTTCTGAAGCTGGTTATATGACCGCGCGACACTCGCTAGAATGAAAGGACGGGGTCAAACCTGATGGGGACCCACAGTAGCAAGGGACAGGGACGATGAGGGCTTCTTCGAGTTTCCCCATGTTCTCGTTCTCGTTGGGGTATACTGATAATCCGCGTGGTCCGTATCGGTGTTCGTTGTTGATATAAGGAGACAAAGTTGGGGAGATTGGACCACCCACACCTACATCTACGCCCACTTGATTCCTGCTTCCTGCAAAAAAAAAAAAATCAGCTACTATATTATGACACTTACCTCCCGAATCATGCTCGTAACGGGATCGAATACCGGAGTTGGGTATGCGTTGGTGAAGCTTTTGGCTCAGCAAGGACATAGGGTTTATTTGTCTGGAAGGAACGAGGAGAGTGTGAGGGAAGCGGTGTGAGTAACCTTATTTTTCGGAGACGGTGGGACCTATTCTCAGCCCGACTTTGACATTTGAGATCCGTAGGGAGAAGCTACGCGAGGAGCGCAGCGGTCTCGATGTGAAGCCGGTTTTACTCGACGTGACGAAGGATGAATCTGTCAGGACCGCAAGGGACTTGATAGAGAACGCTGAAGGGAGGTTAGATGTCCTCGTGAATAACGCTGGTAAGCACTGAGTCAAAGGGGGGGAGAGAATCGAATAATCTAACGTCTTCCATCTTCAAGCCATATACCCCGGCTTCTGCAAACCAAGCGAGCTCTCCATCGACTTCATAACCAAAGCCTTCCAAGTCAACTACCTCGGCGTCATCCGCGTCACCACCGCCTTCCTCCCCCTCATCCGCAAGTCGACGCATAGAGGAATCATCTTAAACGTCAGCTCCGGTGCAGGATCTCATCACTACCAGTCCAACTATCCACAGCGGTACCCATGCGTATCGGCTGCGTATTATGGGTCCAAGGCTGCGCTGAACGCATATACGATTTCGTTGGCGAAGGAATTGGAAGTGAGGGGAAGCGGGGTTAGGGTTCATTCGGTTACGCCGGGGATGACGGTGACGAGGATGACGGAGGAGTATGGATTTCCTGCGAGGAGACCTGCGGTGGAGGGGGCTGAGGTGATAGTTCCGTGGGCTACGATGGATAAGGAGGATGATCGGACGGGTGAGTGGCACTTGGATTCGAGTAGATAAAGACCTATTGATTGATTGATTTTGAAAGGTATGTTTGTTGGGTACAACAATGATGAAGGTAGAATCGACGAAGGCATCCCATGGTAAAAGGTGCTACTAGCGTTGAGCGCCGCACCGACGGTCGGGGCCCATGAGGCAGTCTAGATATTTGGAGAACTTGGATTTACTTACCGTTAAAGTGTCACCACGTCGCCGACTCCCGAGTCGGAAATTGGAATAGACACATGTATCATGTATTACTAGTAGGGTGACAGGGTCCAAGTGCACGCACCAAAAATTGACGCAAGACCTCTGAACATGAGGCTGAGTGGTTAAGAGAAGGCGGCAGGGGCGGAGTCTGACAGTGATCACGATGGGCCTCGAGCGCTTCTCAATAACACCGGAGGCATAACCCAGAGAATGTGCCATGGCACATTCTCCGGATGCATGCGCCATTGAAGTTGCCAGGAAAATATCATACAAAGGGCTGGGGTAATCAAGTACTTGGCAAGAATTATAAAGGGCTGCTAACTCTTAGCAGCCCACAAAGCACTGATTGGCATCCCAGCGCCTTTTGTATAAGTATCCTTTGTTAGTCCTTTGTGTGATTGTGATTATACAAGGTACTGAGAAATTATTTAAATCAATTATTTATACAATAATTCTCGTGGCTTGCACATGTCTCGTTCAATGGGACATGCATCCGGAGAATGTGCCATGGCGCATTCGCCGGTCCTTGCCTCCGGTGTAAGCGCCTGGAGGGGGAAAAATACGATCAAACAAAAACCTTTGACAGCTCGACGTCAATATTCAATCATCGTCACTGTCTGCCTCCTCATCGTTCCTGACGCGGACGACGAGCTCCGTATTATCTTTGGGTAAGTTTATTCTCTGCAGGCCAATGTCCTTGACATGTGCTCATTTTCTCTCTCTTCCAGACCTTTGTTTTTGCTCTATAAGATACCCTCGCATCTGGATTCTGGGAGCGCTGGCAGCTAATAGCTAAAATAACTGGACGACAATACCAAATATACGAGCCATCGACTAGTAGCAACGACACAAAACCTCTCTCGTATACCTACCACCTCGACCCGCTCTCAACTCAACCAACGATGGCCCCCGGTTTCTTCTCCAAACTCGTAAAACCAGGTCCGAGCATCACCGTGAACGGCCGTGACAGGTCGTTCGACCAGGGCTCTACAACAAGCCTGAGTACAGGTACATCGACATCTACCCCTCCTCGTAGTCGAACCGTCTCCGTCATCGACACCCGCGCCAACGCCAGTGAATTCGGTCAACTCGGTCCAGGGGCAGGACGACAACCCAGAGAGAGATCGAATACGCGTGTAGTGAGCAACAGTAGCAAAGGAGAGAGTGGTGATAGAGGATACCAATCCGACACTGGGACGACGAGCAGTGCGAATCCTAGTGTGCATGTCGTACCCCCTTCACCTATGGTATCCGATGGGAGTCCTATTGGGGGTGGGATAACTGGGTTGCCTGATACGCGGAATGGGAATGGGAATCGTGGAGGAGGAGGTGTGGAAGGATTGCCTGGCTCTGGATCTGGATCTGCGGCAAATCCTCCAGGCAGCAGCGGTAAAAAATCGAATAGATCCCGACCGACTACGCCTGCATCGTCTGCTACTTCCCCAAACGCGCCCCTCCCACACCCGCACCCGCAGTCACCCAACTCTGCTGCTGCGCAGACCCTCCAAGCACCGACAGACATAAAACATAAAACCTCCAACAGGTCTCTCCGATCCATCTTCACCGGCGCCAACACCAACACCAACACATCACCCCCAGCAAAAGAACACAACCCCAAAGTCAACTCACTCGACAGCACAAACTCCAACACCAGCTCCGGTGGGAGCCACGCTCTCGTCGAGTCACCTACAGCTATGGAGACCGAATTCGTGTTCACCACCACCACTTCAGATGGGCAAGGGAAAGGAGGAGAGGACGTCGTCACTCCCAAGGCAGTCCCAGAGTCACCTCACAAAAGGTCTAAATCCACTGGGACGCCTTCCTCCCCCGACGGACCACCGCATAGAAAAGAAGCTACGGTAGGCGTCTTTGGTCCGGGGAGCGGGTGGCGTAAACCGACGAGTAAACCGACTGGGTTGGCGGGGGCGATTGCGGCTAGTGGGTTGGCGATGGCGAATCCGGGGTTGACGGGGGTGCAGGGGCCGCAGTTGAGTCCGCCGTTGCAGAGGGGACAGGTGAGTTTGGAGTGCTTTTTTGTGGTTTATTCCCTTGTGATTGTTCTTTCGGGAGTTGGGCATGTGATTTGGGTGTTTTTGACTGCACTGCTGTCTCTCCCTCTCTACCTTTAACTTTCACCTTTCGTCCATGTCTATGCGAGGTCGCTCTTCAACGCCGGTTTATGTGTTTCTGGCTTGTTTGGTCTTGGCTTTCGCCGTTGCTTTAGGCTTG